GGTTCCTAGTCAGGATGCCAAGACGTTTTTACAAAGGAAAGAAATTAATTGCTATTGAAATTCTGCTTAGTGCCAGGGCTGAGCGATGTGATTTCCCAAACATTTTGTCATTTAACCCTAACAACAATCGTGTCTCCTGATTTTATAGATGAGGATAGTAAGGCTTGTCCAAAGCCTCTTAAATTCTAACTGCCATGCTGAGGTTTTTAGCTTGAATGTGTCTGACTCCAGGGCCCGAGAATCACAGAACTGAGTTTGATTGTTGAAGATCTAATATATCTCAAATAGGCTCCTTTTTTTCATTCCTTGTTTTTTCCCCTAATGACTAATATGGTAAGCACAATGCTTTAAACCTAGAAAACTAGGTGGATCGTATGAAAAGGACTTCAAATGTAGAAATTGCAATTTTTGTAAACATATAACTCCAAATATATGTCCATATTCAGAATACTGCTCTTTTAAATTATGCTCCACTAATGAGGCTACTTAGAGAAGATGAATATATTCTTGCTTGAAACGATTATTTTATATTCATCGATGAAGAATCAGACAAACTGAGCTCCGGTCCTTGCTTAGTTCTTAACTTTCCCTGTGATCTTGGACCTGTCGTTTCCCTCATCTTTGCAGAGAGATCAACTACATACCTTGTCAACCTTAAAAATCCTAGTTTGAGGAATTGAAATAATAAAACTGAAAATGATCTGATAAAACTATAGAGTCCCACACTAATAGGTATTATTTATAAACGATAAATCCTCCTGGTGGGATTTTGTGCATTACTCATTTGTCAGCTACTTATTGAATGTTATTCTATTTGAGGTACAGCACGAGGCACATGCAGTTACAATTACTTTTCATATAATCTGGTGTTTCTTTAATTGGCTTTCAACGCTACTTACAGGGGACTTGCAAATATTTTTCACTTTTATCTTCCTTACACAGTCATGGAAATATATAGTTTCTTTAAATGTTTTCTTGAATATTGTTTTTGCTTACCTCGTGCAGTGAGGTCATAAGACAAACTCCTTAAAATATATATTGCAAGATTGTTGCTGTTCCGGTGTATACATTTTCTTTCACAAATATAATATACCTGAAACGTAAATAAGTTTTCATTCTTCCGGAGCTTCCTGAAGAGAAAGCTCTGTGAACATCTGTGGCCGTGATGAGGAGAAAGTTCTTCTCACATGAAATGGAACTAAAGGAATCTCCACAGGAAACCCCAGTTGTCAGAAAGGTCCATCAGCTGGGCCTGTGAGTGAAGTTAAGAAATGGCTGTGGAGGTACGATTGAGTCCTGAGCCCTGTTGTGCTGGAGGAGTCTTGGCAGCATGACTAACCTCGCAGAACCTCAGTTTCTCTGTTGAGAGGGAAGGACAAAGGCTGTATGTGTGGTTGCCCAGACAGCCTGAGCAGGCTCTGACAGCGCCAGGGTTACTGTCCAAGGGGCTCTCCTCTCCCCTCCGGCCGGCCCTACACGGAAGACCTGTGCAGCCCTAGTCTGTCGTTCGTGGCAGGCACTGATGTCATTTGATGGGAGAGACTTGGATCGCCACAGTTGAATTCTAAATATGTTCATGTCGCTGCAATCTTCAAGGATCGACCCCTGTTTACAGTAGAATTCTTTCTAGTTCTTTTATAAAGTGATTCCCAGTTTAAGATGAGCGTGCAGATTTTACTTTTCTCCATTCCTTTTTTCGTAACTGAAGATGATTTTCTGCCCTCTAATTTGATTGACAGGTAACATACGAGCGCTTTGTCTTCATGAGGTGAGGGTTCTTCTTTGTACATAGATCATTTAGGTAATGGCCCATAACCCCAAGTTGTGGGGGCTGAGTGTCATAATGAGAACTAAGAGTCTGGACAGGACTTGGTGACAGAGGATAAGTAGGGAGCTAATGCACATGTGGGGGAATTGGAGAGAAAAGTTCTGAGCTTCCTCTCAGTTACTTCCAAGGTAAAATAGAAATTATTCTCATCTTCAGGGTATAAATAATACTTTTTTCCTTTGTTCTTTTCCTTAAATCCTCACCTAAGGATATTTTTCCATTTATCTTTAGACAGAATGTGAGGGGAAGAGAGAGAGAGAGAAACCTTGATGTGAGAGAGAGACATCGATTGGTTGCCTCCCACATGACCCCGGCCAGGGCTGGGACCAAACCGCAACCGAGGTACGTGCCCTTGACCAGAATTGAACTCATGACTCTTTGGTCCACAGACTGACACTCTAACCACTGGACGAAACCAGCCAGGGCAAATACTCTTTTCTTTTGTCAGTGTGGATCAAATAATAATTTTCAGTAAATGATCATGGTATTATAAGACTAAAATCATTGGTTTCATTTATGACTAAGTAGCTTAAAAACGAGGCTTATGTTTGGGGATATTAGCCGTATAACAAATGTGTGATTACCAAACATGATAATGACAGTGAAAATTTAGTTATTTTGTGATGGTGTACTTATTTCCAAAGGAAATATAATTCATATGCAATCATGCTTTCCCTATACTCTACTTAAAATATACATAGATAGGAGTTTGCGTGTATGTCAGATAAATTTGTGCTGTGATGCACTTGGAAAACATGCTGTGAATCCCTAATTATGTTAAAAATTTATTTTCTTAGTGCAGCATTATACTCATTATATACTCTACGCATTTAGTTTTTTAATAGATTCCTGGCATGATAATTATATAATCATTCAGTACAGTAGAAACAGCATTATGATCAAATACTAATTAGCTACTAAAAGGAAACAAAACAGAACCTAGTTCACAGCTTATTATAAAAAATGATTTAATATAGTACAGAACCAAATGTATGGTTAAAATTATTATTTGCTTTAAATGTGAGTCATTTCTTTTTTCTCATGGGAAGGAATCAGTGTTCTGGATGCTTGTTACCTAATTTATTGCTTGGGCACATGTTTTATTTTATTATCAGAATCTTTATGACCAATTCTGTGTAGTAGAGCATCCAGAGAATTTGCGAGGGAATTCTAGGCTCAGTACCAGAGTGTGCCTCCGCTTCTGCAGAATTAGGAGACCGGCTGAAGTCTGGGAACATGAGGTTCAGTTGTAAATCACTCCTTTCTAGGATGCTGATTTGAACATCTTTGTTGCTGCGGATGAGTGATCTTCATCTGTTTTTCTTCCCCAGTGCACCTTAGGAATACAGTACAGTCCTGTTAGTAACAGTGAATCATGGTCATTGTGATGCTCCGGTGTGTTCATGCTGGAACAGCCAGGTGAACTGTTAGCTCTGGTACAGGGCAGTGGGAGGGTCAGAGAGGTGCACAGGTCCCTCAGGTAAGTCAGGTAGCATACTTCTCAAGGGAGCATTATCCTCACTCCCCTTGAGACTTGCTTCTGTGGCTAACAGAGGATTATCTGGGATAGTGTTAGGAGGCTTCAGTGGCCTTTGTAAGTGTGATTTAGCTGCAGGCCTTCCACTGTTCTTCCCACAATCATAAGGAATTGCAATCATTCCAGAATAGCATTTCAGTCGTCAGTGCTTCTCCTGACAAACAATTTTGAAGTCAAACACTTGATAGATTTTATATTCCATCCCCTTTCTTTATCTTCGTGTTTTCCCATTGTCCTTTGCTTTAGTTTTGGCCACTGTAGACATTAATTTTATTTCTTAATGAATGGTTGGTAATGCAGTTGAAATGTACAGGACGCCTAGCTGGGAGAAAGGTGCACTGCCTGGCCTTCCGGTACGCCGAGGAAACAACACTCGCTTGCTTCTGCCACCTCTGATTGGTTATCAGGGCTCAGGGAGACAGCAGTGCTATCTGACTTTAGTTCTGTATTCTTGCAATTGAAAAATTTTATAGGAAAACAAAATATTTCACATCATGAAAATATTCACTAATGAATCAGTGAGTTGTAGTATTGGTCAAACATCTTCTTTGCGATATCCTTTGATTTAAATGAAAATAATATTTATAGAAATTGATTATATAAAGTAAAATCATAAATCTTGCAAAGGCTGAAGATTTCATGAAGTCTGTGACATGATGGTCTAGAACATTTCTACTCACAGGAAAAACCATGAAACAATGAATATCTGGCCAAGTTATGCTACTAAGAAAACTAACCATATTAGGTTCTTCAACTGAGAATTATTTCAATATATAAAAGTAAGAGAGGAATTCAGGAAAGATGATGAAGTCCTTGACTTTTAAAAAAAAACACACACACAAATATAGCTATGTTTAAAACTATCCTACATGTGCTAGTATAAAAATGTTGGGAAAATTCTGCCCCAAATCCCACTCAGTTCGTTCATTTTTGTTCGGTCTGAAAATAACACTAGTTGCAAATATTGCCTAAACTTATTTTAATAGTTTTGATTTTTCTTTCTCTAGCTAAGTCCCAATCAAATATTTTTTTCAACACTGTTTATTATAAAATTGTAGCCCCTATTTTAAGTGGATCCACTTCAAATTACTTTTTTCCAGAACTAAATCTCTTGAATGATAAGGGCTCCCTGTATATAATATGTGTGTGAATTATGTGGTTCCACATGTAGAGCCGTGCACTGTTTTAGTGGTCTAAAATGAATGTGAGACATTTAGTTGAAGTTAATTATGGTTGACTTGCAAACAGTTTATATATTTTTTTATTTAGCGAGATAAGGCAGGGATCAAGATATTAATTGTATAGAACTCATTCTTTTAGACAGATCAGTAAAATCATATGTATATAGGTCATTTTCTGGGACATAAAAATAACTTTATTATAATCCTATTAATATATTCTATTTGTATAACATTTTATTCTTAGAAAGTGAATCATTATTTCATTACCCTTTGTATTGTGCAATATTTGTTGTGGTGAAATGACCTGTTCTCCAAAAGTTTTACCAGAATGTTCTTTATAATTCTTCTCCACATGTTGACTTGACTACCTCTGAGCTGAGGTCTTACAAATAGCATTAAAGAACTACAAATATTTTGAGTCCCCAGTAGTGAAGCAGCTGTTTTTTTTTTCCAGGTATCTTGTGGTTTTTAACCCTTTAGAGCAAGAACGAAACTCGATGGTCTCGGTCTGTGTGAGTTCACCCACAGTGCAGGTGTCCTCAGCTGCAGGAAAGCCTGTGCAAGTTCAGATGAGTGCGGTTTGGGAAACAGCCAGTACTGTTTCACACACAGCCTACGAGGTATGTTTCTGCCGTAGAACTCAGAGGCATCATGAAAAAGTATAGTCAGTTTCTATGTCTACGTGGTACCTAGGACTGTCAGGTGGTTGTGTGCGAAGTGGTTCGAGTTGCGCATACCAGAGGGTTTAAGTGGCAGTTAAATGGTACAAGGAGAATAGATTCTTTGTTTCTTATAATAGTAATATACTTGTTAATATGTATATTCTTTGTTACTATTAGTACATATTAGCATGTATATTGTATATCTTGGTTAGTATGTATATTGTAACTTTTTCCTGAAGTAATCATTACTCATAATTTTTTTTTGTCTAACTCAATTTAATGACAATTACACATATTGAAATTGAGATAAATACTACCCTTTTAAATACCTTTAGGTACTCTCAACTTTTTATTGCAAAGAAGAGACATAATATGTCATGAAAGAACACTTCCTAAAATAAGATGCTTCTTCTCCAAGATATTAATTATGGAAAATCTGGACCAAGTAATAGACATTTTGGGGGGGAAATTTCTTAAAATAAGCAATATTGAACTGAACTCTGACTCCATTAGAAAGGTTGACATTTTAGAGTCTGGGTTGCAATTTTAACTGTTACTTCTGAGGATACAGCTATAAGCTAGAAACACTAAAAGAGATTTACTGCCATTTGTTAAAAGCCATTGCTGGCCACTCTAATAAATTTGGAATCCTTGAAGTAGAAATGAAAAGTATAATACAAGTTCTGGTCAGATTTTACAGGAAACACCCTGTCTAGAAATGGAACAGTAGCTCCTGGAAGGCGGGCTATTGTCTTAGAGGGTGTGCCCCTCAGCCTGGGCGGTGTCCACTAGATCCCAGGCGCTCGGTGGCTGGTGTTGACTGAACTAATGTGCAATATTTATATTATTGCATTGACCATTTTCATTTTATTTTATCTTTTTTCTGAATTAAAAATACACTTTATTTACCACAAAGCTTTTTAATACTTTAAGTTCTAGCATTTACAGATTGGAAAGAGATTTGGTAAGGGAAAAAAAGCAACAAACAACATTTAAAAATTCTCCTTGGCATAAAAATGTTAGCAGATGTGTTCATTGATCAGATATTTATTGATCAGCCTCTGTACCAGGCTCGGATCTAGTCCTGGGGGTAGAATTAAGAGACAGTTATGGCCTCTGACATTGACCATTTTTAGTTTTAAGGTACTGAAACAGAGTATTGTAAAAGATTCCTAAGGCAAAATCATTGTTCATAGTAGGCCCTTACTCTTTTACAGAGAACTTCCCCCTCTGAACATTTATTACGAGCACTGTAGAACAATTAAGATGGTCACACAATTTCATTTATTGGATGAAAACATTAATGTCTGTGATAGCCCTACCAACTTGAAGTTATTGGGTTACCTAGATAAATGGAGATGTTGATACTCTACCCATGAGTTATCAAAAAATATTTATAGAATATTATTATATTCTTTTTCTAAAACGTATGGTAGTTTGTTTTTTTCACTAGAAGTACAAATGGATTTTCTTTCAATAAAGTACATTTTTCTTTAATAAATTCCCTCTTCTATCTTTTGAAGATCTCTTTTCTAGCACAGATGCCACCATTGGGACTGAAAGTGTATACACTTTTGGAATCAACAAGTTCAAATCCACATTTAGCTGAATATACCCTGTATAATGGTAACATAGAAGATAAAGGAATTTTCAACATGAAGAATATGAAAAATGCTGAAGAAGATATAACTCTAGAGAACTCCTTTATTAAACTGCGGTTGGGCCAGTCTGGGCTTATGGAGGTATGTTCTGAATAGTTCTGAAATTCATAGAAGGCTTATTGTATTATAATATGTGCAGATTATTTATGCAAAGGGCAAAGAGTCTATGCAAATATTCTGGGAGAATGAGTGCTGTGAACCTTCTTCCTGTGGTCCATAGTGACCACTCTCCTCACCAGGGTGGTTGATGCTGCCCTGAGAACTGTCTGTAACTGGCCCACAAGATAAGTGTAGTAGCTGTTCCTGTTTAGAAATGTTTATAGAAACTTTGAAAACAATTTGACAGAGTAAATATATGCCCACTGAATCTAATAATAAAAAATGTGAGTGTATATTTGGTATATTACTTTAAAGTTAATTTTTCTAGTAATTCACTTTTATTGTACTTTACAAAAATATTAGTTCATGCGTACTGGAAATAAGAAATAAGCCTGCTCCTTCACACAGAAGATTTGAGAAGCACTGGTCTAGATGTCTTAATTTTGTATATCTCTTTCTCGGTAAAGGGTATTCTGTCTTTTTGTTCCTATTGTGAAGGTCTGAAATTCTAAGGTTAAGTATAAAATTGTCGGTGTTCATTGAAGAACTGTGACTATTAGAGACTATTAGCATTTTCCAATCTATCCTGTGGTAATTTTTTAAAATCAAGAAATACGTGGAACCACATGCAGCACCATTAATACTTGTGAGTTGATTTTCAGTTTTTTCTCTTTAGGAAATGCTAAATAAAGAAGATGGGACACGTCATGATGTGAAAGTACAGTTTTCATGGTATGGAACCACGAGCAAAAAGGACAAAAGTGGTGCCTACCTCTTCTTGCCCGATGGGAAAGCCAAGGTAAGTGCTGATGGGCTAGTCTAGGAGTATAGATTGCCTGCTGGGTCATTTTTCTCCATCGCTTTTAGTACTTTAAAAAAACAAAAAAACTTTTTCCCCACCCTTGACTGGAAAGATTATATATGCAAATTTTAGCACACTTTAAAAATGAAGAAAACAATAAAATTTACCAACTATTCCATAAGCCCATGAAAACCACTGCCAGCATTTTGATGTATTATTCTCTTCTATATATATCTCTTCCCCATCTTCAACTTTATCTTACCACATTACATATTTCATCGTGACAATGCTCACAATTTGATGGTATAGTTTTTGAAAATACAATTTTAATGTACACTGCTGTGTTTAAAATGTTTTAGTTAGAAGACGAATAAGGTCTGAAGGTCTAATGTATAACATGGTGACCGTAGTTGATAATTGTATAATTGAAATTTGCTGAAAGTAGAGCTTAAATGTTCTCGACAAAAGAAAAAGTGTCTGTGTATATATAAAAAAGAAGAAGAAAAGAATTCCCTATTGTTGTATGTGTTCATTTTCTGCCAATACTTTACTACTGTAACATTGTGATAAGCTTTCTCTGTAGCATTATTTTTATGCAATGTTGATTATTTCTGAAAATAACTTTCCAAAGAATCATTTTGTGTTAGTGGATGAGCCCTTTTAAGGCCTTTGATACCACTTTCTCTCTGGGAAGACTGCATGTTCACTCCCACCAATGTGTTTTGAAAGTAGCTTTTGAACATACCGTTTCATGCGCTGAGAATTAGCCATATTAAAAGCTTTACCTACAATAATAGGTGAAAAATATTTTACTGTTAACATTTTTGTGATTATTAGTGAGGTTAAATTTTTTTATACATTTATTTATCTTTCACATTTCTTTTGTGAGTCTTTAGTTGAGTGCTTTAATCATTTTTTTTTTGTATGACTTAAAGATCTGGAGTGCAATTTTAACTGTTACTTTTGTCTAATAAAAGTAATCCTTTTTAGTATATATTGCAAAGTTTTCTCAGTGTTATTTAATTTGTTAATTCTTTATTTTATTTTTCTGTTAAAGTATTTTAAATTTTTGTGTAGTCAATTCTGTATTTTTTTTTCTTCCCTTGCTTTTATACTTACACAGGCTTTCTCCATTCAAGATAAGTTAAATATTCTCCATATTCTGTTGTCTAGGGACCTATCTTGTGAAAAAGTTACTTTTGTTCTACGATTTAGAAAAGCTGGCTAACCGACATCAAATACAGATTTTAAAGGATTGTGTAGGCCACGCTAAGGATTCTAGTTTTTTGTTTGTTTTGGGTTTTTTAAATCAGTGAGGAATTAAAGGTAGAGTACAGCTCGTCCTCAGCATTCCAGGATGGGCAGTGGGTTCGCTTTCTCACTTCCCAGCTTTTGTCATTGAACAGGCATTTTGTTTTGACCAACTGTTACTTAAAACATAAATATATAAGTGGGTATATATATATTTATATATCTGTGCTATGAAATATTATGCACGGACCATAGTAACTAATTGATTTTAAATTATATTATTCTTAAATCGCTCTAATGTTAGATGGAAAGACAGAGAATTAGCCTGTGTTTAAAAGAGAAAATAAAAGCACATCAGGGAAAGAGGCAGCTGGGCACGTCAGAAAACAGCAGGAGCCCAGCATCCTGTCGCAGGTGTTGGCCCCTCCGCTGCTGCCTAGCCATGTGGGTGTTAGCTACAAGGACGTTGTGAATTGTAAAGTGTCATATTAATTTCAGAACATTTTTCTCTAGCCAGAGAGGTAAATTTGGAGGAAAATTACATAGTTCTGAGGCTCTTATGCTACTTAAGTAGTTCACATTGCAAGCCTAGCTTTTTATACTATTGTTGCATTTTCTCAAGTGTGTGATATTTAAGAAAATATAATTCTTCATAAGTGCTTTAAATATGTTCCTATGTCACATAAGTTATTGTATTAGTCCCATATTTTCTTGGATCTGGATTCTAAATAATGAAAACTAAATCCGTGTGTTTTGGTTTTTGTTCAAGTTTATATGTTTGCTTTATCTTCAGCTGGCTCTTTCAAGTAAAAGGCCAGTGTGTTTATAGAGTAGTAAACCTAACTGTGATTAAACTGTGTTCCTGAATTTTGCTTCCTGTTTGTTTAGATGACTCCCTGTGGCCATCCTTGCCACCTGCCCGACCCCTGAACATTAGGGGGCCATGGTTATAATAAATGTTTGCTTGGGAAAATGTCACTGCTGTAGAACGATTGCTCTTTCTAATAAATAACATATGGACAGTATAGAAGTTTAATCAGACGATTTTTTAGCTGGGAGGAATGTTTGTAAATCTAGGCCAATCAAGTTGAACACTTTTATTTTCTATTTTCAGTAATTCTTGTATGATGAAAAACCGTATATTTAATTTTGATAGCAAATGCATGTACTTTGTAAAGTTTGGTTTTCACCTAAAATGGCAATCATCAGGTAATATGTATTTTTTCTTTTTGGAAACTATAATAAACATTTCTTGGAGAAGTTAAAAGCCAAAATATTTTTCTTAAAAATGTCATTTCCTCCTCAGCCTTATGTTTATAAAACCCAGCCCCTTGTCAGAGTGCAGCGTGGAAGGTTTTATTCGGAGGTGACCTGCTTTCTTGAACACGTTTCCCATAGCGTCCGACTGTACAACATACAGGGTAAGCAAACGGAGAAATGCAGTTGTGAAACATGTACACTGGTTCTTGAGTCCTTGCCTTTCTTGTGGTGTTTTTAATAAATTAACAATTGGGTTTGTAGATGAAATAATAATCTGTCTAAACTTAACATCATACTTATTGTATGATTTCAAATATAATATTTACCCTTTGATCATCAATCATGGTAAAACATTTAGCTGTTCCCTGCGTGTACATGTTCTGTTTTCTATATATCTTTCCTTTCCTACTGTAATATTTACTTAGTTATGAGTTCATTAACTAGAAACTTTATTTTTAAGATCTAAAAACAATGTAACTTTTTTTAAAAATTTATAGAATGGAAATGATGCCAGATATGGCTTTCAATTAGTGGGACACACACGCACACAGAGCCTGGCCTAAATGTAGAAAGTATCACCATAGCATGCATCACTGGAATTTAACTTTAAAAGAATGTCCTAAACTCATTCTGTTGGTTTACAGTTCTTGAGCTGTTAGAGTATAAAGTCAGTCAGTGGTTTATTACTTTTAGGACAGTGTTGAACAGCATCTTTATTTACCGAGTCGCAGAAATAGCCTTTGATCTCTAGGAACTTGCTGTGGACATTAGCACTAATCCTTCCATAGGACCTGGATGGAGCTGTGCTTCCCAAACACTCAGAATTATAATATTAGGTGATACTACATTGATTGATTTTAAATTCTGTGTTTTTAGAATGAGTACTTTTCCATCCACAAATTGTATTCCAGTAACCAGGCCATTTACCATGGTATCAATTCTTTTAGAAAAGTACTTCATGAAAATGTCACTTTAAATTTTTCTTTGCTGTTGGCTAAGCTTAAAAAACTGGAAAAGGAAAAATATTTTCCCCTGAGTCTTCATACAGGTAGACAATAAAGCAGTATACAAAATAATGATAAAATGTACAGGCAGGCACTGTTTATGTTTTTAGGTATTGTGGGGAAGCAAAGTACAATGTTTAGGGAATTTCTTAGCTGAAGTTTAATTTTCTAATTTCGGTGTCTAAATTAAATTTGCTTTTTTCAGACTTTAAGTACAAAGTTCATCATGTTTGCCTTTTGTTAGGATTTCAGGCATGGACAGTTTCTCATGTGACATAATGAGCTATGTTCTCAGAGCAACTCATGGTTTTAGGTTGAATCAAAAACTAAAAGGTCACCCTGGTGGGTTTGGCTCAGAGGTTAGAGTGTTGGCCCATAGACCAGAGAGTCCCGGGTTCGGTTCCTGCTAGGGGCATGTACCTCGGTTGTAGTTTGTCCTTGGACCTGGGTGTGGATGGCAACCACTCAGTGTGTCTCTCTCACACCGATGTTTCTCTCTCTCTCCCTTCCTCATTCCCTCCCGCTCTATCTGAGGATAAATGGAAAAATATCCTCATGTGAGGAGAGAAAAAGAACTAAAAGGTCTTCTAGAAGGTGGGAAAATTATGCTAGACATTTACTTTGTGTCCTGAACGTGACTTGTACAGCTATCTGCGGTCACTTTGCTACGTACAAGAAAGTCTGTAGTTCTGAAATAATCTTTTCTTGAGTTTCCCAAAACCTCTAGTAAGTCAGAAATAGTATTTTAACCATCCATGTAGACTCTTGTATACGCCATTGTTTAACATCTTTGAGAGCTCTAAAATACATTTTCAGCTATGGCCAAAGGTTTTGCTTCCTGGGTAGAAAATAGCATTATCATACAGGAGATGCGCTTACCTACTTTTAAATTTGCTTAAAACTATTGTTTTTTTAATGGAAAAGTTCTTCTTTGAATATAGCATGGTGCACACTGGCTCAGACCTTGTCATCAAGCTTGGTTTACTGCCGTTTTTACCAGTCATTTAGGGAGAAGCTGTGTCTCAGAGTAAATGCTGAAGCAGCACATCAGAAAATTCCAGCTTCTCAATCAAATAGATTTGCTTAATTGCTTTGCTTTTATTTGCTTCTGTTGCTGTCATGGCAGCTTCCTAGTTTTGTGGGTTGTCCAGGGGATCTGGATCTCAAATCAGAGTGGTTTCTATAGGTGAGAGGGCCCTCTTCTATTGCTGTGACTGTTGCCATTTTGCTTCGGTGGTCACTTTGGAAATTAATAGGCCCTGACTTGCCTGTTTACTTATTCCAAGGACCACTCCTTAGAACTATGCTTGTATTTTCTCCTCTCCCCATCTCTTCCTGTCCCCCCACTGGGCAGTCGGAAATGCCCAGCAGCTGACTAATAGCCCTTTAACCAGAGCTGGGCACTTGAAGTTTTAACTGACTGCTGGCCATCCATGGTTGCAGGGCTGGCTCTCTGATTAGTCAGTTAAGACAGAGATTTTTCTAAACAGAGCACTTAAAGAATTAGCACAGAAAAAGTTCTAATAAAAAAATAAATATGCCGACCTCAAAATGCCTCTGGATATCTCAGTGGGTGGAGTGAACTTGAACTGACACATTTTTTTCCTGATACTTGAGTTTTGTAGTTTGAAAGCAGAAAGCCTCAGACGTGTGTGGGAATGACAGATAAGGAAGGTAGGAGTAATGCGAAGTTAACAGCGCGCTTCTCCAGATCGGTTATACTGGACTTGCCTGGATGGAAATCTGAAACCAGCACATGTAACCGTCAAGCCCGAAGCACTTTTTTTTCCAACATGAAAGTAGTTGGTGGGCAATGCAGATACCAGATCACTGAAAGACTTTCTTACAGACTATATTCCCCTCCATGTTTGTATTGGAACCTGCCTCCACAAGTCTATCTCCTGAAAAAATAAGCCCAATTGTGGGAAAAATAATACCCTTCTCAGTAGCCTTTGTGACCCAGTTCCATCTGTCCTTGTCTTTCATACACCACTGCGTGAGTGCTCAGCTGTCTGACCTGGCTCGCTGAGGTTTAATCAGATCACTAATTAAGAGGTATGACAGAGATGTGAAGTGTTCTGGGAGGCTGACTCTCTAAGTGTTCACACTACCTGAAAGGGGTTTGGTCATGCTGCTCCAAACCACCTGTACTTAACAAATACTTGAAAGCGCTTCAGTGTTTTAAACTTCAGCCTCATGTAAACCAGGCATCTGGGTGATTGATCAAAATACATAGACAGAATATGTCTTTTCATCTGCAGTACAAAGGAAACTTTGGCCAACTTCTATGCTTTTATAGATTGGCTTCTGTTTAATAGATATTTTTTCAAATAACAAAAATACCTATTCTCAAATTTAACTTATTCAACTATTTCTGAATATATGCTAATTTTGCCTCCTTTAAACTGATCAGATACAGTTATTTGGATGAGTATTAATGACTAGAACCTGTTTGTTGTTAGTACCAAGTTTGTGATCCAGAAAGAAACGGGGGTTGAAGTAGAGAGACTGTTATTAGTGTTTTATGATTACCTACCGTCATTGTAGTAGTTTACTAAGCCAATTAATTATTCAAAAGACATTGTATCTCAGCAGCAAGGATTCAGAAACAGAAAATGAGTTAATAGTATGGGTTGTCTGTCTTTACTGAGTGTCAAATTCAGTTTGCTGGAAACATTCTTTAAAAAGACTAAAGAAATGAAAACCTGACAAAATAGCCTTATATTTTTTTTATCTCCTTTTTAGTTATTCTTTGGCTCCTTCCTCCCCAAAGTAGCTTTTGCCCAAATTAAGCTTCAGGAGAAAATAAAATCAAATAGCACTTCCCAAATTATATAAACTGTATAAGACTCTCTTTCTTGAACTATAGAGAGATGAGGTGGTCAGTTTGGTATAGCCATCAAAGAATTATTATTGGTTTGGAAACAAACTGAGGTGAGGGGGGCCTGGATTCAACCTAACTGCTGGTTGGTTTTTTTGGTATTTAACTTCAGTTTCTCTATTTGTGTTCTCTCTGGATGATGAAAATAGTAAGAGGTACAGTTTACAGTCTTGCTCTTACCATCACTTAAGCTATTAAAAGCACTGTGGTTTTTTTTCATTATCGTTTAGACATTCCATTCAAAAGATTTCTAGAAATATTAAGTTAGAGGAAATTTTGTGCTTACTAGCTTTAAAAGATCCAAAAGATCAGAATGGTTTTAGAGATTCTAATGAAACATAATGCTTTGCCTTATGTCAGGTTAAATAAGAAATCCATTTCGCAGAGACCATAATTTAATAATTGCCCTTTCAGAACTATTTTATGGTTTCTAAAAGATTATTTAATTTCTAGCAAATAACATGTTTCCAGGGGAAAATATGAGAGAGGTGGGGGTTAATTTTTCTTGTAGTGTAATCATCTTTCACTAAATTGAAGCTTTAAATGTTACTAAGTAGGCTACTTTAGCTTTTGTTGTTAATCTTGGACTGGAAGGTAGAATATGATATAAACAAAGCTCCTGTGTCCCCTTGTGTTGTGTTTGATATTGGACCATCACATAAAGTCTATGCCTTGCGGTGGTGACACAGTGATCAGTAAGTGACATTTGCTAGCTATGGCTTCATTTGTCTTCAGAGCTGTAATTATTAGACTTGGGTGCCCTAGTTTTCTGACATCAGCAGCCACTTTGAAGAATTAGGTTGCTATGGGTTACCAAGGTGTCATGTACATTTTCAGTGGCACAAGGTTTAGGTTCCAGATTCGTTATAATATGTATGTTCATGGTTTATTTTCTCCACCCATGATGATGCTCTTATGTAGGTTTGTGTTTGTGAGTGAGTCTGTATGTTTCACCCTTAGGAAAAATTTCTTAAATGCAGTACTTTCAACTGGTTTTTGCCAACATATTATGAAAGTACTGTATGTAATGGATCTTGCTAAAAGAAAGCAAGTAGCTTGGAGGTAAAATGTAGTGAACTGCCATCAAAAAGTATGGAAGAAAAGTCTTTCCTTTGGCTGAAATGACTTATATTTTCTTTGCATGGGGATATTAGCAGATAGAGATTGCTTGGTTTTTTTCTGTTTTGAATATATAACCAAAATGGATTCATAATATGACCCTTGACTTTTAGAGTCAAAATGAACTTCATTTAGTTAAACGTACAAGAGAAGCACA